ACCACTATTCGATGCTCCTCCAGTGGCACGTTCAGCAGAAGATATCCGTGCTGCACTCTCCAACCACTGGGGAGAAGTTTTCAAGGCCAAGGTAGTGGACCCTGTCAAGCTCAGTACGTACGTGGACCGACTTGGTTGCCCCTGGGCTGGCCCTGGCCTCGATGGTCTCCCTGTCCCGTCGCGTGCGGGCCTCGAGAAGGCCTTGCACCGCGCTCGTATCTCAGCTCCAGGGCCTGATGGGTTCACTTACCGCGCATGGGCTGCTATCCCCGAGCAACTGGATGTTTTGCATGACCTTGCCCTGCACCTTTTCCGTGGCGATTATGTGCCACGCGATCTTAATGACTCTGTTTTCGCTTTCCTGCCGAAGGGATCGTTGCCAGAAGATCACTTCGACTGTGTCAGGCAAGCTAGTAAGGTGCGCCCTCTCTCACTGCGCAACACTGACACTAAGATCATCGCCAGTGCTGCTAACTTTGTGCTGCGCCAGGCGGTCGCCAAAAAAGTGCACCATAATCAGAGAGGCTTTGTGATAGGAAGAAATTTCGCCCGCAACATAATATTTATGGACGCCTCTGCCAGGGCCCTCAGCATGTCAGAGAATGCCGCAGAGCGATGGCCTTGCTTCGTGTCTTTTGATATCGCTGCTGCGTTCCCCTCCGTGGGGCATCAATGGCTATTCGAGATTCTCCGCCGTCACGGAGTCCCCCAAGGGTTCCTCAACCTTCTCCACTCGCTCTACTTCTGCCCTAGGGGCTTCGGACGGTTCGGAGGTGAATTGCATTTTCTTTTTCATATCTGCAGTGGCGTCCTTCAGGGATGCCCTCTTTCGGGGTCTGTATGGGCGCTCATTTTCGATCCAGTGATTCGGTTGCTCTCCCAGGCTGTCGAACAACCCGCTGACCCTAGTCAGATCCCAGGACAGGTAGGAGGATGTGCTGATGACATTGGCACAGTGCTCCCACAATTGTGCACGCTGAAAGACATGATGCCCCACTTTAATGATGTTGCTGAGCATGCATTCCTGCGTCTCCAGCCTGCCAAATGCTGCATCGCGCCACTGTGGGTCACATGCACTCAGGAGATTGCACACAGCATCCGAAGTTGGCTAGCACGTGAATTGCCTGAGTGCCAGGAGTTCGATATCCAGGGATCGACGGCGTACTTGGGGGTGCAGTTCGGACCGGAGGGGGATCTCGGACTCCAATGGCACCAAGCAGCACAGAAATGGTGGCATCGCACAATTGAGCTGCCATCGTCGCGTGCTGCCTCTGCACTCTCGATCTTCCAATACAATATGTATGCGGTCAGCACTCTCGGCTATCTCGCTCAATTCTTTCCCATGTCTCCCAGCGCCATCGCCCGCGAAGGTCTCGCTCTGCATAAGTTGCTCCGTCTCCCTCCCAACACTTTCCCCCTCGCCGATTTGCTGTCTGCCTCGTGGATTGGATCGTCTCCCCGTTCGCTCGTAGCTCTGGGCATCGCATCCGCCTGGAGAATGGCCTCGCACACGGTTCCAGACTGGCGGGACGCCTACGATGCGCTCCAGCAGGCCGCCGACGCTGCCTGCGGCTCCCCTGCCCTCTCTGCACCACGGTGGGCAGCTGGAGAATGGAGCGCCCCGTGCTGGAGACGGACGGAATCCATCGTCCAGTTCTTCCACTCCCTCCTCTCCTCTTCCCCGTCTGTCGTCGTCAGGCGTCGTGACTCCTCGCTTCGCTCCACTCTCCCCCTTTCTCTTAGAGCATGGGAGACGGCTAAAGCGGAGGGTGGAGCTGAGATGAGAGCGGCTGAGGTTAATCGTCGCAAACCGAAGATCCAACGTGTTGTCAGCTCGGTTGTGTCGCGTGCCCTGTACCCTGAACGCTTCCACCTGACCCTCAGCCGCCGTCTCAGAGCCTGGGAAATCCCACCCCCGCCCGATCTCAGCGCTCGCTGGTCACTGCTGCGCTCAGAGCTCACTTCAGTCCGTCCTTCCTGGAGATGGGCTGTGTGGAAGTCCCTGGCGGGAGGGTGGACCACATCGTCGAGGATGCACGTCTCACGGCACTCACGGGATTGCATTTTTGGCTGCGGTGGCTCCGACAGTATCAGCCACTACTTCCGTTGCCCTCGAATGAGGCACCACGTCGCCATGAGTTGGGTGCGGCTCGTCTTTCCTGTGGAGCCCGTTCTTTGGCTCGGCCTCGGGAGCCCATCGGAGTATGGCACGGAAGATTGTGAGCTAACTCGAGCCCAGACGCTTGAGGCAACGGCCCTTGCGTTTCATATCTACCACAAGGCCAAAGACATCGTGCCTCCAGGGGCACACCTAACGTATACAGAAGCCGAGCGGATGGCTGGTGCTGCGCGTTTGGCGCTTCGCGTCTAGTGCGGTCATCGGGAGCCCGCCCTCAGGGTACGTCCACTCCTCCTCCGCCTTCTCCCCCTCCTCCCCCTCCTCCTCCTCCTCCTCCTCCTCCTCCTCCTCCTCCTCCTCCTCCTCCTCCTCTCCCACGAGGAGGCTCATCTAGCTCCCCAGTGCCTCAACCAGCTTTTCGCCCTCTCCTCCGCCTTCCCTTGCGCAGGAATCGGCTGAGCAAACTTGTTGCAAAGGCCTTTGGCCTGTTCCGCCGACCGTGAGACGTGAACAGCTTTGGCGCGGGAGGCGGAGGCGGGACAGGGGGCAAGGGGCGGCGCGGCTTGAGTGCGAGGGCGGCAAGCTCATGGTCTTCGGCCTGTCCTACCAGCGGTAGTGGTACATTTGGATCGGCTGCGTATTGGTGTCTCTGGTGGCCCCTTGGGCCTCCGGTGGGCCTCTTGGGGGATCGTGTTGGATGGGGCACCCTCAGCGGTGCAAACGTGGCGCGCTTTAAAAGCCTCTTGAACCCTCTTCGGGGCCACTTGGGCCATGTGTTGACGGTTTCGGGGTGCTTCTCAGACTGTCCTGGACACGCTTGTGAGCGATGCGGCAGTAATTTTGAGATCACACACGCACGGCACCCAAGGCCTCCAAGAAGGCCCGCGAGATTCCCGAGATTGCTAAGGTTGGCCCTGAAAGGGCTCTAGCGGGCCCAGGTGGCCCAAAGCCGGCATCCTAAGAAGGCAGGGCTCTGCTTAGCCCCCTTGCCTTCAAAGATACTATGTTGCAATCGTCCGAAGCTTTCTCCCCCTGCCTTCTTCATTTCTTAAACAGCTTTTCTGTAAGTTGAACGCTCATTCATTTTGGCTCAAGCGGTTGCAAGCCCTTCGCTTCGGTCGTCCGCGATGGCTGGAGCTCGACGGGCTAGAGGAGCTCTCGCGCCCGCTGCGGCGGCTGCCCTTGTGGAGGCGGCCGTGCGCGGCGCGATCCGTGCCAACGCGCCGCGGCGCACGGCTGCGGCCGTGGCCCGCTCGGCGGTCTCGGCGGCGCTCTTCGCGCTGTCGGGGCCTGCCGATCCGCCCGCGGCCGAGGCGGCTCCGGAGGTCATGGAGGACTTCAAGGACAAGCCGAAGACGACGGAGGCGAAGCTGGAGCGGAGGCGGCGCCGCCGCCGCCGCCTGGCGGAGAGGCGCGCTGCTGGGCGCGCTGTGCTGCCTGCCGCTGATGTCGGAGTCGGTGGGCCCACGGAGGACGACGACGGGATGTCGTTGGACGACGAGTGGGCCGACGCGCTGCCGCCGCGGGTGGCGCGCAGGAGGCAGCGGCGGCCCGCGCCCGACCACACCGCGGTGGTGGAGGGCGCCGCTGACGCTGCTGGCGCGGCCCCTGCTCCTGCCGCTGGCGGTGCTGGCGGCGTTCCTGGAGCATGTGCAGGTGCAGGAGTTGCGGTGCCGAGCGCGGCGGCGGTGCCTGGTGCGCCTGGCGGGGCTGCTGCTGCTGGCGCCGACGCCGTGTGCGACGAGGAGGCCGACGCGAGGAGGGCCCTCATGCTGAGGGCGGAGGCGATCATCCGCGGGCGCGTGTGAACGTCTTCGGGGAGTCGGTCATGTTCGTGCGCACGGCGGGGGTTCGGCGGCACCCCCTTGTTTATAGCCGCCCGCTAGGTGCGTCCACGTCGTGCAGGTCGTCGTGGTCCACTGTAGTGTCTATCATCTGAGCCTACGGGCCAGCTTGCAGCGTTCCCGGCGCCGCTGCTCGAGACCGAAGCCGTGAGGAGTTGAGCTCAAAAAAAAGTTGAACGCTCATTCTGGGGACAATCCTGGAGGTACTCGCTTCACTCGTGCGTCTAAGCTGCGTCGAACGTCCGTCGATTTGAGTCGACCCTGAGTCGAACTTGAGTCGAACCTGAGTCGAAGTTGAATCGAACTTGAGTCGAACTGGGGTCGATTTGGACGGAGGAGGGACGGACGGGGGGGGGAGACATAGGAAAGAAGAGGAGGCGGAGGAGGAAAAGGAGGGAGGAGGATGACGAGGAAGAAGAGGAGCAGGGCAACGAGGGGGACGAGGGAGAGGATGAGGAGAAGGAGGGCGACGACGAGGAGGGGAGACGGTGGAGGAGGCAGGAGGTGGAGGAGGCGGCGAAGGAGGCAGAGCAGGAGGATCATGAGCAGAGGCGCTCGGACACATGATGTGTATTCTCCCCAGGTGCCAGCCCGCGGGCCTCGCAGCCATTTTGGCCCAAGCAGGTTTTTGCATTGATCCGAGAAGGGAGCCAGTGCCGAGAAGCTCGAAGCCGCCGGCAGCCATGTTCGCCGCCCTCGCATCGCCAGAGGCCGGCGGACGAAAGGCACCGCGAGATTTGGTGTTCCACCGACCGCGGAGGGCGCGCGGGGGATGTACACGCCATCAAACTGGCGGTACAGCCCCGCACAGCCAGGGAAGGCAATGCTTCTCGAGCGAGGGCCTGGACCTCCTGGCGAAGTCCAAGAGCATCGAGACCCCGGCAAGAGGATGGATCCACCGAGCATCCCTTCGAATTCCTCTGGCGCTGAGGATACCAGGTCCAGCAGCGTGAAGGGTGAGGGCGGCCCTGGAAGGCCTGGCGGCCTGATCCGCTTGCGGCTGGAGTCCTGGTATCCCCGAGGCGAAGCACGGGCGCATGAAGCTCCAAGCCGCCCCGGGTCAGGCCCTCCCCGCGGTGGAGCACCCGATCTCATGGCGCCCGTCGCTCGTCGAGCAGGGACTGGCGGCCGCCACCTCCCGCGCGGCCCGTGGCGAGGCCACCGCGGCCGCTCATCGGGGAACAGACCATGACCTGAGCATGCAAAGACTCGGAGATCCGCGCGGACTTCTCGCATCGGCGCTGGGACCCCCCCCCCCCCGGGGATCCCCCCCCCCCCCTGGCGCGCGGAGCGCACCATGGGCGGCGCCGGAAGCGCCGCCCATGGGGGCCCCAGCGCCGATCTGAGGAATCCGCGCGGACCTCCGAGAGCTTTGGGTGTACGCCATTATTTGTTCCCCCGGCTCAGCCGCTGCTGAGGCTGCCGGCGGAGCGGCCGACCCGGGGCACGCCCCGGGATCCGCAGCAGGTCATGGGCAACGATAGGGGAGGATAGGCATAGGGGGGGATGCATCGACCCCCAATCGCCCATTGATCGCCGACAGGGGTCTGATGGCCGCACCCCGCCCAGGAACGTGGTGGTTCGCTCTCGAGGGGCCCCGATCTATCGGCGATGTATCGCCGAGTCCAGGGCGATGTTTCCCCGCTGCAGCCAGCCCGCATGGTAAGGATGAGCGACTTCCAAAGTTACCCTTGCATTCTTCCCCTCTGGCCCATCGAGCCGCTTTCGCTGGCCGCGCTCCGCTCGAAAAGTACCGGCATGGCCTTCCAAGGCCCTTGCATCCGTATCTTTCTGGATTCCCACATCCCAGTTTGTCGCCTTCCTACTTCAAGAGTCGAGCGTTCTCCCTCTTCCCTCCTCCTCCTCCTCCTCAGGGGGCAGGCAGAAGCCCAATCTGCTTCCAACGCCTTCCTACTTTATGTGTCTACCCGCTTCTTTCGACCGACGGGTATGGTTTGATTGCGTTCGAAGAAGGAAGCACGGCATGAACATAAACTGTTGGCGCTCCGCGCAGATTTCTTGGGTCCGCGTTCGGCGCCCCCGGCGGCGCCTCCAGCGCCGCGCAAGGGAGGGGGGTCCAGCGCGGATCCAGGACGTCCGCGCGAAGCGCCACAAGTTTAGGCTTATGCCGTCTTCTCTCCCTCCGTGCCTGCCAGCCCCCTGGGATCCGCCGCAGGTCCTCCTGGCCACGCGCGCGGCCGCGCCGGCGTGCGGGCGCAGCCCCGCGGCCCCGCGACCAGGGCCTCCCGGAGGCCCCCTCGGTGGCGACGGCGGGCGCGCCGCTGGGCGCCGCGGCCCTCGGGGGCAACAACGCGGGGGGTCCAACCGAGGGTCCTCGGGCGGGAACGCTCTGAGAAGGCCGCGGCGCTCGGTACATGCTCCAGGGCCGCTGGATCTCGGAGGTTCTAGGTTTCTCCTCGCCCGGTGTTGTCCTCGAACGGGCTCCGTCTCAAGGCCGCTCAGGGTTCGGGGTAGGCAGGATTTGTTTCAGATCTCTGCGTCGGCACACGTGGCGGGATAGGGTTTGGGGGGGGGCCTTGTTTTCTCATTGCAGCCCGGTAGCCATAAAAGCGTGTGATCATCTGGGCAACGACCCCGGGCGGCAATCCGCACGGGCGCTCGAGTTGTCTGGGGCGCTCGACAAATTGATTGTCCGGCAGCCAGGGTGAGATTCCTCCGCACATTGACCATGGCGGCGTTGGTGCCGTCTCCTTACGCCCATTGGGAAGTGAGCCGGTCTCGGAGCACCCTGGGGAACAAGCAATGATGGCATGACCAAAAAGACTGCGGAGGGCCGCGCGGATTCCTCGGATGGGCGCCAGGGAGGAGGTTCCAGCGCCGATCCGAGAAATCCGTGCGGATCTCCGAGTTTTTCTGGTTATGTTTGTTTTGATTTTGAGCGGGGGCGTCAGGCTCAAGGTCCGAGGGTGTCGGTCGTTTCGGCCAGACCTCTGCGGTTTTCTTGCCTCGGGCTGCCTTTCAGCAGCTGCGCCTCGCACAACGCGTTCCGCGGGTGCTCCGATCGTGCCGACCTGCCGCCGGAGGCCCGAGTTATGGCCCGAAAATTGGCGGGGACTGTGATAAGCATGAAGGGGGACGCATCGACCCCCAATCGCCAACTCATCGCCGACAGGGGCCCGATGACCCACCCCCGCCAAGGAACGTGCGGATTCAATATTGGGGGCCCCAGCGCCGATCTATCGGCGATGTATCCCCCGCTGCAGTCAGCTCGCATGGTAAGGATGAGCGACTTTCCTAAGTAACCCTTGCATCCTTCCCCCTCCGGCCCATCCGGCCACTTTGCACTTTCGCTGGCCGCGCCCCGCTCGCAAAGTGTCGGCATGGCCTTCGACGCCCACATCCCAATCGTTGCCCGTCAGGCGCGCGGTCCCCCGCCGGTTCCCCAGGCGCGTCGCCGCGGGGGGCAGCTCCGCAGAGCCCGCCCTGCGCCCCGCGCGCGCGCGCGGTGCCAGTGGCCGTGGATCCTCCACCGCCTGCCGCGGAGTTCGCCGCCATGATGGAGGCCGGGGGGGGGGGAAGAGACGACAGACCGACACCGAGCAGGTACCCCTCCCATCAACGCCCTCGACCGATGTTCCTAAGGACCTGTGGTCGCCCAATGCGTGCTTGCCCTGGGCCGCTCCACCGCCAGCACGCGGCCTGCGTTGGCCCTCGTAGCACCGCCTGCGTCGTGCGGAAGGCATCGCGCACGTCATTCATAACACATTCTCGGAGGATCATCGGCTTTGGGGTGTCCTATGAGGCCCTCGTCGCCACTGCTGGATCCGCCTCGGCAGCCAGGGACCGGTCGTACTCCGGGAGGCGTCCCAGGTGCAGCCGTATCGGTAGAAGCCTGGTGCTGCCAGAGGTGCCCCTGGCCCAGGGTGTCCCCAGGAGTTCCGGGGAGGCCCCCACGGCCACCAGAGCACCCCTCACGGGGCCCCTGGGGGGCTCCGACAAGAAGGCGCGAAACTTCCCAGAAACGGGGATTTTCGTTTTCTTCCATGTACGGCCCTCGAAGTCCCGATCCTTTCCCAGGGACCAGTTTTTCATTCTGAGCAGTTCTTAGACGGCTCCGCGGCCCAGCGAAGGCTCCCAGAGGGCACAAACGACGAAAAGTGTCTGCGCTGTTTTTCTTGAGGCGTTGAATGTCTGGGTTAGGCCTGGAGCACTTGGCAACCTCCGCATATTTGGTGTTCCGCAGGAGATGGACGTTCTCGATCTCTTCGACCTCCCGGCGGCTCCGGCACTGCTGCCGCCGCTCGTACAGTCACAGGCCGCCTCTTGTGGCCTCTGGACCGGTATCCACAGCGCGTCGACCGCGGTGTCGGTGGCCAGCTCGGACCTCTGAGGCGAACGAGGTCATGATCCCGAATGCAGCCAAGTTTCTTGCCAGGCCCACAAATGTGCGGGGCTGGTACGTCTGCGGCGGGTCCCTCGGGGCTCCAAACTGAGGTCCAAGCGTGTAGTAGCCACGTTCACCGAATATTTCTCACGCGTTGCAGATAGGTGAGAGGCTTGTTGGACTCTTTTGTGGGAGACCCAAATCTGCATTCGCCAGCTTACTTGGCGTTCCTCGTTCGCACTGCCTCTGACAACTTCCCCCTTCCTGGACCCTCCTCTTCTTTGCCCCAGCGTGCGTTGGTAGGCGTTGGCCTCCCCCGCTAGCACCTCATCCACCCGAGGTCTGTGAGCGCAGTCATTGCTGGTCAGGCTGATTATCCATGTGCCTGCGGCAAATTCCACCACCGGACCAGCGCACTACTGTCTCTTCCCCTTCTTTTCCCCAGGACCAGTTGCGCCGCATGATGCAATGGCTTGCTTCTCTAGAGATAATTCGGAGGAGGAATAGAAAGACGAGACGGCGGGAAGGGACCAAGGGGGAGGGGGGACGTGTGGTAATACTGTTTGGGAGCGCCTTGGTGGCCTCTTGAGCTCCAGGACCCGCTTGACGTTGTATTTAAAGGCGGCGTTCATAACACGTAACGTAGCGACCGCCGTTGGATCATGAATACCATCTGGAGCCTCTGGGGAGTTCTTGGCCATACACCAGTCAGCACAAGGAGTCCCAAACCATGTGAACCAGGTCAAACCAAATTTAATCCACCCAAGGATCTCACGAAAGATGCGATTGTCGGTAATGTCCAGAGCGGGCGACAGCTTGACGTCGATAGGAGGAGCAAACAAGCCCCTGAGAAACGAGCGCATCCAGCGAACACCTCCAACATGGCCTTGTGCCTGGGTGCGGGAAAGCCGCGCTCGTCACGAGCGGCGCGGTCGCTCTCCTGGGCCACGTCCGGCCCACACTTCGTAGTTGGCTGCAGCTGCTCATCTTCTCGACGTGACGAAGCTGGAATAGAATGTAAGATACTCACCGACTGACCAGATGTGAGCGCCATAGTTTCACGAGACTGCGATCCGATCTGAGGCAATTCCCGAGAAACTGCCCCCAACTCCCGTCCCCGTCGGCGATGCTGAAGGCGTCGTCGAGGTACTTGCTGAGGACTCCAGCCTCGACGAGGGCTCCAGCCCCGTCCGGGCAACAGAGGGGGTGCCCGAATCCCCCATACAAGAGGCCGAAAGCGACGTCGGCCCCATACTGAGCGACACACCGTCAGCTCCGCCGCGCACGTAATCCCGTCCAGCGAGATCGTGAAGCCCAGCACGGTGGAGACGCGCCAGCAACCGATCAGCTCCGAGCGCTTCACCAGGTCGAAACAGGCCTCGGTCCGCAAGTCGAGAGTCCTCATCCGAGCAGTTCCTCTTCGAGATCAAATGCCGACGTCGCCACCTGATATTGCAGGCAGCCTGCAGTGCACATGAGCGTCGACACAGGGTGTTCAGCGCGCGGTCCTTGGCTCGACCACGCTCCGTGGCCAAGATGTCCGACAGGTTATCTCCGATAGACAAGAGCTCCGAGTCCCAGTGTAGCATACTCTTGGAGTGACGACGAAGACCCAATAGCGACGCTCGAGCTTCCTGGTTGTGGATGGCGTCGGCCCGACACCAGGCCCCACCCACTACGCTAAGCCATCGGAGGCGGTCACTGAAGGAGGCTCCGAGCTCGGGCAGCGAGTGCGTCTCGACCATGTCCCTCGCCCGTCTGGACGCGGATCGTGACGAACCAGCTCTCCACGAGGTTGAGGTAAGGTCTGCCGGCCCAACATCCGTAAAACCCAGCTCCGACTCGAAGATGGGCGCCAGCGAGGTCGGCTGCGCGTCGATGGAGCACCACACGGAGTCACCCAGGTCGCTCCGTAAGCGTCCAGAGTGCGGAAACGCCACCTCTCCCTCCACGCCATAGCCGACAGAACCTCGCCCGAGTGAAGACGGCCGACGTGGACCGCGTAGCTGGCCTCGCTGGCGTCCGAGCAGTAGACTGTCGTAGACGTCTTGAGGCGGAAGTGGTGGCGCACAATGAGGACTAATCCCGCAGCCGCCTGGAGCTCGCCGATCACGACCGGCGCGAACGAGTCCACCCGGTCGTCGTATTCAACCGGCCATCGCCACGACTCATATAGCACACACATGAGAGGGGGAAACAGCATGAAACGGTTGACGACGCGGCCGATCAAGCGGCGAACTTGGCGATCAGACATCGTCCGTCTCCGAATGGCAGCGTGCAATGCGAAGTACAACCTCCAAGTGCGTTCCGGCTTATGTGTGACCACAGGGTGCGCTCCCCCAGTGATGACCAACCCGAGCTGAGTAACGATCTTTTGCGCCCGCACCTCATCACGCCAGACAAAGCCCCTGCGTCGGAGCTCATCCGACAGGCAAGTGAAGTAATCAAACGCATCTCGCATATCCCAGCATATCAGGAAGGCGTTGTCGACGTACGGGGCCAGGCTCGGCAACCCTGGCTGCAGGATCTGGACCGGCTGCCGGTTCCTCAGCACCCTGGAGTCGACCACGTCTCGGTTGGTCTCGCGCAACCGCGTCATCTCGGCCACGATCTGCACGTCCGTCAACGCGGAGTGGCAGAAGAAGAGCGACCACGACCACCCCAAAGGAATAACCTTCACGCGCACCCACAATGTCTCATGCTCATCCACATTCGTCCAACAAGACTGATCATCATCGTACACGCGCGATACGCCGTAGTCACCAGCGGTGACCTTGTGGGGTAGACAAAACAGCCAGCGACCTCATCGAACTCGAACTGGATATAGCCGTCGGTGAGGTCAGCCCCAGAAAAATGTACGCCCAGTGGCCTCCCTCGACGGCTGACGGCTGTGCTCATCCACCATCGTCTCTCCATCCCACAAGGCCATGGCGGCAAGAGACGATGCAGTCGCCAGCTGACTGACAGGAAGGTCTCGGTGAAGGGAATTCGCTGGCCGGCAGTCTAACACCAGCCTCAGGTGATAGCCATCCTTCTTGATGACCGTGAAAGCTCCCACGAAACACCGAGCACGCCGACGAAATGATAGCATCCCTGCGCTATGCAGCTTACGAGCGAGTGCGTCCATCTGGCGAGGCTGCCGCAGTACAGGGTCCAAGTAGGCAGGGCTTGATCGGATTCTCGTGCGCAATCCGGTTCTCGTCAACCGGCGCCCGAAAGATCCAACCCTTGGGACCCAACGCCGTCGGCCGAGCGTCAGGCCCGACCACAGCTCCGAGAGGCTCGGGGTGAACGAGTGAGCGCCTCCGCCTCTGACAACTCTGACTCGATCCGTATCGAAGGGCCGTCGAGTAGCGTCGTCCGTCGTGAAATCGTAGACGTCCAGAGCTCGAAGAACACTACGAAGAGCGTCCTTCCTTCCAGGTCCAGAAGGGGGCGGGCCGAGGCCATCCAGCCGCAGCCGCTCCCTCAGCCGGGCCCCCACGGCGCGCTGCAGCGCAGTAGGGGCCGTCGCAGTACCGCGCCGCTGAAGACGGTGTCCAGCTGGAGCAGCCGCCAAGGCGTTCAGCGCGCTAACGGTCTCCGTGAGGCGCCGATCGCAGGCCGCCGACCTCCGAGCAGTAGGCCCCTCGCAGGGCATTTCATGCAGGGGAGCGGAAAGACGTCCTTCGCCACCAGCGCCGCGACGTTGCCAGCAGGAAGGTTTGGCAGCTTCTCCGCGCACACGCGATCATCGGTACCCGAGGCCGTTCTCCGCACGGGAGAGGAGGAACAGGGAACACCACGGCCAACAGAGCTCCCCACGGGCCGCAGGGCAGTCATTGCCCCGGCGGCGACGATTTGTCGCCGCCGCCGCCCTTCTGGTTGGTGTTTTTCTGTCTCTTGTGGTCTGCCTCGTTCTCCTCTTTCAGCAATCGCTCAGACTTCATGATGATCGCCTGAGTCTTCCGTCGCTCTGCCATCTCCGCATCGAACTTTGAGGTGACCACGCCTCGATTGGTGTCGAAGGCGTGTGACATATAATTTTCTAAGCCATCAGAATTTTGGTTACGAGGATTCTTCTTCACGGCTATCTGGATCATCAAGGTTGGCTTCGCGATCATCTCCGTAGACGTTGAGTTGGGAAGATTAATCTAATTATACACCACCATCATGCAACATGCTCATCAGGTGATAATGCTCAAGTGCGACGGTGGTCCTCTCACCCACAGTACTGCTACGTACCCAGTAGTTGTGACATGTGGCGAACTCGTAGCCCGCCGCCGCTACTCCACGCGACAGCTCAAGTACAGCACGAGAGTTCTGGAAAGGGAACCCGTCGACCTCGGCAGCCTGATTCATGGTCTTGACCGCTTCCTTCAGGGTGCCCATGCGAAAACCAGTCGAGGGGTCCAGGCTCAGCGGCAGCAAACGGTCGTCCATGCTCTCGCCGCAGGGCTTCTCCTGCAACCACTTGGTTTTGTCCTGAGGCCGAACTCTCTCCGCTGCCGTCCATTCTTCTCCTCGCTCGACCAACGATACCGATCCCCGATGCACCGCCAGCTCGCCATGACCCTGAACGGTATCGTCGAACTCCTCCACAAAGAAAGCCGTCGACGAGTCAGCGTAGACCAGGACCGTCGCCGCATCAGGGGCAGCAGCGAGGTCGCGGGGGACAGCAGCAGGAACCGCGGCTCCCATGATCTCGGAGAGCGCCTTTGCCTCAGCACGGATCCGAGCCAGGTCCTGAGGTGCAATCGGGTTGACGAAAGCGTACACATTCAGGCCGATTGGGAGCGGGGCGTTCCTGCTCAAAGGTTGCATGCCCGCCACTTCCGTTCGATTCGCCACATCAACCATTCAGACCGAGAAGTCGGAAGTAGACCAGATCCATTTGGAGCCCTCCAGCTTGACCAACAGAACTCAATGATGATAAGGCATCCCATCGTCGGGATAACTAGTGAATCAAAATCTGCCTCTCTGGAATATCTAGATTCATCGTGACAGCTCAGTGCGAGGCCTCTGGC